CCGTGTCCCCGGTGCGGCGGCGGCGGCGAGAGCCGACCGGACGCGGGCGCCAGAGGAGGAGACGCAGCGGACGGAGGCGGCACCGCGGCTCCGAGGAACAGTGACAGTCCCCGCTCGCCCGCCCGCCCCGCCCGCCCCGCCGCTAGCAGTTGTTTTCACCAGGTTCTCACAGAGCAGGTTTCATGCACTGCTCATTCAAGGGCTGGATTTATGTTCTTTGGAAATCGTGGCAGTTGCACAAGGTGTTGCTTACCACGACGGGGTTTGGAATCTTAGACATGGAGTTAGCACTATGTTGACATGCAGAAGATGAAAGAGGAAACCGTTAAGGTGGACAGGTATCCAAAGTTCATTTTCTGTGACTTGCCAAAATGACAAAGGAATGGTAAACTGCCTGGATTGTTCTCATTGTACAACAGTTTCATCCATCACAACGATTTTGTTCTCTGCTCTATATTTTTTTAATCCCTTAAGCATCTGATGAAACACTCTTGAGTGCTATATGCATTTTCTTACTTTTCAAAAATCAGCCGGGCGTGGTAGCACACGCCTGTAGTTCCAGCTACTCGGAAGGCTGAGGCGGAAGGATCGCCGGAGCCCAGCAGGTCGAGGCTGCGGTGGCCGGGAGCGGCCCCTGCATTCCACTCTGGGCGACAGAGTAAGACTCCAACTCACAAAAAAAAAAAAAAAAAGTGACAGTTGTCAAAAAATGCACTAAAATGTAAATGGAGATTGAACATGTTCACTTTCCAGCTTATAGGCAACTTTATACATACTTGAACGTACTCTCCAATTGTTTAGTAAAACCCTGCTGCAGGATATAATTTGTTTTCTATAACAAGCATAACACACCACTGCTTTTGGTGGAAAAGTACAGAAGAGTATGTGACTTTTATGAAGAAAAATGTAGTTTACAATGTTCAGTGAGAATGTTACTGCTGATTTTCTTTTCCAGGGTGTAGAATATTCTTTGATTTATAGAATTCATTTTTGACCCAAATGATGGTTCTTTTACAGACCAATAAAATGGCTGAATATTTTCACAAATATAGTGTAACTAAATCTGGATTTCTGATACCTTGTCATTTGGGGGATTTTATTTTACTTTGTTGCTTTAAAATTCAATGCAAAGAAGTTGTTGACTGTAGGGGAAATAAAGTTAATTCAAATTTTGTGTTAAAAAAATAAAAAATAAGCCGGGCTCGGTGGCTCAGCCTGTAATCCCGCACCTTTGGGAGGCTGAGGTGAGTGGATTGTCTGAGCCCACGGGTTCGAGACCCTCCTGGGCAGTGAGACCTCATCTCTACAATAAATCAAAAAATCAGCCGGGCATGGTAGCGCATGCCTGTAATTCCAGTTACTTGGAAGGCTGAGGCGGAAGGATCGCCGGAGCCCAGCAGGTCGAGGCTGCGGTGGCCGGGAGCGGCCACTGCACTCCAGTCTGGGTGACAGAGTGAGACTCCAACTCAAAAAAAAAATAAAAATAAAAGATAGATTGAGGGGAGTGGAGTAGGCTGCTGCTTTGCCTCAACGCTTCCTAAAACCTATCTATTGGAAATTTAGTTATCTATGTCTAACCTGTGCCAGATTCAAAGCATGCTAGGGGTGGGGTAATTGTGAGAAATAAGAAATAAGAATGGTAATTTATTTTTGAATTGGAGATCGTGCCAGAATCCTTGGCTCTCAGCCTGTGATCCCAGCGCTTTGGGAAGCGGAGGTGAGTGGATTGACTGAGCCCATGGGTTCAAGACCAACCCTGGGCAGCTTGATGAGACTTGTTTCTGTGGTAAGTAAAAAATTGGCCTGGTGTGGTGGGGCATGCCTGTAGTTCCAGCTACTTGGAGGACTGGGGCAGGGGGATCACCAGAGCTCAGCAAACTACCACTGAAGGCATGAGATGCTAATGTCTGGTGACCTCAAGATCTAAGACTCATGTGACTACAATAAACATCAAATACCAGAATCCCTGACCTCTGCTTTGGACCAAATTCCCCCTACACAAAAGTCCTTAAATATACCCTTTTTGTGTTCCTTCGAGGCCACACATGCCTCTGAGTGTCAGTCCCCTTTCCAATCTGCACGAGGTGAATACTAAAGGTTTTTATACTTTCTTATTTGGTTACAATGTTGGCCCCAGCACTAGCTCTGGCCTACTTTACCTCAGATAACCCCTTCAAGTAACAAGCAAGTTTTTTTATTCTTTTTTTTAAGTTTGAGTCTCACTCTGTTCACCAGACTGGGGTGCAGTGGCATGTTCACAGCTTCCACAGCCTCGACCTGCTGGACTTGGGCGATCCTTCTGCCTCAGCTTTCTGGGTGGCTGGAGCTATAGGCACATGTCGCCATGCCCAGCTAATTTTTATTTATTTGTTTGTTTGTTTGTTTATTGAGTTGGAGTCTCACGCTGTCACCCAGACTGGAGTGCAGTGGCCGCTCCCGACCACCGCAACCTCGACCTGCTGGACTCCGGCGATCCTTCCACCTCAGCCTTCCAAGTAGCTGGAACTACAGGCGCGCGCTACCACGCCCGGCCAATTTTTGATTTATTGTAGAGATGAGTTCTCGCCAAGTTGCCCAGGTGGGTCTCGAACCCGTGGGCTCAGGTAATCCACTCACCTCAACCTCCCAAAGTGCTGGGATTACAGGCTGAGCCACCGAGCCCGACTTTTTTATTTATTATAGTGACAAGTTGCCCAGGCTGGTCTCAAATCCCTGGTCTCAGGCGGTCCTCTTGTCTCAGTCTTCCAGAGTGCTGGGATTACAGGTTTGAGTCACCGAGCTGGCACAAGGCTTTTAAAGGAAAAGAAGAGGTAGTTTCTAAGTTGCTTACCAGTAATTACATTAAAATAACATAAACTTTTTTTTTTAGTTTGATTGAAAACAGTCAGAGGAAATAATTTGTAGAAGGCAATACCCCATTCCCACTGAGGGTACATGAGTTCTACAACCAGTGATTGAGGGCCTCATAAGGGATGGATTACTGGAGCCATATACATCTCTGTTCTCCCAGTTAAAAAGTTTGATGGGCCGGGCTCGGTGGCTCAGCCTGTAATCCTGCATCTTGGGAGGCTGAGGTGAGTGGATTGCCTGAGCCTACGTGTTCGAGACCCACCTGGGCAACTTGGTGAGACTTCATTTCTACAATAAATAAAAAAAATTTGCCGGGCATGGTAGCGCATGCATGTAGTTCCAGCTACTTGGAAGGCTGAGGCAGAAGGATTGCCAGAGCCCAGCAGGTCAAGGCTGCAGTGGCCGGGAGCAGCCCCTGCACTCCAGTCTGGGTGACAGAGTGAGACTCCAATGCAAAAAAAAAAGTTTGATGGGACCTATCAGTTAATACAAGACCTAAGTGCTATAAAAGAGATTGTTCAGGCCCAACATCCTGTGATCCCTAACCTCTACACTCTCCTCAGCAAAATTACCTATGAACATACATGGTGCAGTGTGGTGGATTTAAAAGATGCATTTTGGACATGCCCCTTGGTCCCCAAAAGATAGTCCTCTTTGCATTTGAATGGGAGAATCGGATAACTGGAAAAAAAAAAACAGCAGAATCACTGGATGGTACTACCACAGGACTTCACCAAAACACCAAATTTATTTGGTCAGATTTTAGAACCTGTCCTGTAGGAATTTCAACCTATGGCAGGAACCCAACTATTACAATATGTGAATGACTTATTAATCTCCAGAAGGAAAAAGAAGTATCGGAGACTACTGTTAGTGTGCTTAACTTTCTGGGCAAAAATGGGTGATGAGTTTCAAGGAATAAACTATAATTTGTAGAAAAAGAGATTAAATATCTCTGGTATTTAATCAGTGGAGGAAAACAAGGCATAAATTCAGAAAGAATAGCTGGCTTGATAAATTTGGCCCTACCCCAAACCAAAAAGAAACTCAAAAAATGTTGTGGTTATCTGGCTACTGTCGGCGAGTGGAATGAGTCTTATGTCCAGAGAACAAAAATTTTATGTTTAATACTGTTAGGAGAAGAATGTGACTCCTTACACTGGTCACCAGAGGAAGAGCGTGCTATAAAGAAATTAAAAAGTGGGCCTTATTACAGCTCTAAGCAATTTCACTTCTTTGTCACAGTAGATCAAGATGTGGCCCTGGGGTACTTATGCAGACTTGGAAGCAAAAGGACAGCTTATCACCTTTGTCCTCAACCCTCTCTCTCAGAGGTGGCCTGAATGTTTCCAGACAGTGGCAGCCACTGCCCTATTGGTAGAGGAAAGCAGAAACTGACCTTGGTAGGAGTCCTAATAGTAAGTGCTCCCCACCAAGTCA